AAAAAGAAATGACATATGAAAATTAACCATAGGGGCAACGCCAACGACTCCTTCTTCCCCAGATCTCAAGGTGTGGTATGCCACTACAAAGCACTTTTGGATGAAATAAGAGTTCCTCATTACTGTCTCAAATAAAATTTCTCAGTGACGGTTGGGAGAGTTGATTTTCATTTGAACCGATGAGAAAATTTCTCGACCTTAACGTCAACAACCGGCGGGTGTTGCGAAAGTGACCTTCGGTCAGTTCTTGTCATATTATTTGATCTGCGGGCAGGAAAGATGAAACGAAATCTGCGTTCTGATTAGTCATGCGAATGATTAGTCTGAATCTACCTTACTCACCCCGGCGATATATCCCGCCTCGTCCCGCGGGAAATGATTTGGTTTTGGTGATACCGGTATGCATGTTAGGTGCTTTATTGACCTTGAGCAAGTTTAAGCAAGAACTTTCTAGCTTTTATTTTTATTTTTCCTTTTTTTTTCGTCTCGGTTTTATATTCCTATATGGGCTGGTTTCCTCATCATATGAAAACATAAATTCCTTTTCGCCGAGTGTCATTAACTCTGTAAACTTAGTAAACATTCTGGGTCTTCAAAACACCAATGAACGACTGACTGTTGCCTATCGCCTGAGGGGTGGGGGAAGGTCCCAGGATATTGCTTGTCACGATTAAATTTTCCCTGACCCCTCTCCTGAGGCTCTGTAAAATTCTTATAAGCCTTCCCCCCCCCCTCCTCCCTCATTGACAATCATTTTTCTATAGTCCCACCTGCATACACTATTGGAAAGGAATAATCCCCCACCCCCCATGAGCCATGTGATTACACCAAGAACTCTCCATCACCAGTACAACATAGGCTAAAGGGCTAACCGTGGGCGGTATATCACTATTTCTCAGGGGGGTGGTGGCGGGTTCTACTCCAGTGGAAGAAGTGGAAACAATTTTGATGGAGAAGACGGAAATGGTGGAGATGGTGGTAAGGGATGTCCTCAGAGAGAAGTGGATGGAAGATCTAGAATTCGGGCTATCCATAGTGGGTTTGGAGGAGGTGGTGAAGCGGGAAGAAAGTGCCCTGGAAGTGGAGGAGGAGGGTACTCTAGGAGAGGCAGTGGAGATGGTATTTATGACTCCTAAGGGGATGGGGGAGGCCAAAGTTGAAAACAGTCAGGAGAATGAATGATGTTACAACACGGCTGTTCATGGGCAGGTGACCATCACACTTCTGTAAAACAAACAACCGTCCGAGAAAAAAATAACATCGGCGATATCAGGGCTTCTTCTCTCAGGGCTGAAAACTCTTGTAGAAAACCTCAGTTTATATGATTACGCGTGACGCACGATACTGAATGCGCTTAATTTCATCCGAGAGGTACAATGGTAGACTGCAATGAAAGACCTGACATGCATATTCTAGGACTGATCTAATAACGCTACAGTGAAATCTAACAAGATCATTGTGAGCAATACCCGCGCGCGTACGTTGTCTTAAGAGATAAAGTCTCTTGGCAGCCTTAGTCCTAATTGAGTCAATATGTGCAGACCATTTGAGGTCACTGCTAATGGTAACGCCAAGAACTTTAGCCGAAGATACCAATTCGAACTTGACCCCTTCTATTGACACCTGAGAGAAGTAAGGGGGAGTGCACTTGAAGCATGTGCGGATCTCCTTACACTTGGTTGGATTTAGCTGTAGATGATTTTCCTGAGACCAATCGTGGACGTAGTCAGCCGCTTGCCGTAGTGAGCTGTGCTTGGAGGCGGGAACGACTTCAGAGACCGTTGTGTCATCGGCGAATTTCCACATGTGGAACCCTTCTGGGAGACGGAGATCGTTATCATCGCCAGAAATAGCCATGGATCCAAACGGGTCCCCTGGGGCACTCCAGCAGGAACATCCAACCAATCAGATACCACTCCATTTAGTTTCACCCTCTGCTGTTTGCTCCTTAGAAAATCGATCACCCAGTTCACAACTGTAGGTTTCACGCCAAGACTCAGAAGCTTAGCGACCAATATATGGTGGTCAACGAGGTTGAAAGCTTTTCTAAAGTCTAATAGGGCAGTCCTTACAGTTGAGCCGGTGCCGTCCGTAGCGTGTAGCCAATGATGGAACATGGAGTTTAGAGCGAACGTGGTGCATGAACCAGGAATAAATCCAAATTGTGCGGGATCGATGGCCGATAACAGTACTGGTATCAATTCCTTATAGATAACAAAGCCCTTCGCAACCTTAGACAAGGTGGATGTCAGTGAAATGGGTCTTAGGTCTTTATTGATGTCGTTGACTGTAGGTGCTTTGGGGAGAGGTGGAACGTCGGCAATCTTCCAAGCCCGGGGAACTTTGCACTCGAGGAAATAGGTATTAAGATTTTCTGCAATTGGTGCCGCCAGAATATCTGCGTGTTCCCTTAATACCCAGTTCGGGAGATCGTCCGGCCCACCGGCACGTGTGCAGCTGATTTCACGAAGTTTGAGCGCCACAGAGTGTTCATTGACTGAAATAGGCTGATCGTCGTCCATATCCACGCGCACACAGTCAGTAGTAAGGGCGAGTAATCTTCCATAGCGCTGACGAATACCTTGTCGATTTTGTTTGCAAGACTAGACTCGTCGCACACGAGGTCGGGGTGAAGAATAGAAGTCAAGCCACGCCCTGTTGTTTTAGCATTATTAATACTAATCTTACTAAAATGTGTTCCTCTTTAGGACAAGCTCCCTCTGATGTTGGAAGCATTATCTTGGAACTGCTGCGTGCCACAATGGTGCTTTTAGGAGTATCTATGTTCTTACCCATTATTACGTCTTAACCGCCTCTAAAGAACTTCGTGTCAACTTTCCTGAAGGCAAACACTTGGAAGCTTTAGGGAAAGCGGGGAGATTGAGTAGGATAAGTTGAAAGATCACGAGGAAAAAAGGATCATGAACGATGTCGAAAGTGGAAATATTGATGCAGTTGAAGATACAAATAGCACAACAATGGATACTTCTTTGCCAGAATCAAAACCTGTTGTACCCTATTAGACTCACTAACTGAAGGATAATTTCGTTTTCTTTTTTTTACTTGCCCAAACACAAATCAAGTGATTTTTAGGTTACATAAAATAAATGCTTTTTTTATATTTTTGCCACTCCTTACAACGATATTCATAATAAACTTGTGTCATCAACAACATTTTAATGCATTTGATTGTATTGCTCTGGTAAGACGCTTTTAACAGCAATGGCAGATGAACAAATGTCAACGTTGCAAAAGGATTTATCTAAATGACTCTACATTTACGAATAAACGGGGTATTTTTCTAAAGAGGCTGTAGTGCCTTGTCGGTAGGGGTATTAAAAGATCGGTTTTATCAGCTGAGTTGATAGCGTAAATTTGCTAATGTAAAGAGTTTCTAAGCCGACGTTTCGAGCGTTAGCCTTTTGTCAGAATGAAAAAGAATTAGGGCCAACGCTCGAAACGTCAACTTTAGGAACTGTTTACGGAGGCCAATTTACATCATCAACTTAAAACTTGACGGACGCGAAGCCGTGTTCATTTCAGGTTCATCATCGTCAGCACTGTCCTCGGAACTGCTGCTTCCCGAAGTGCTTTCGAAATCTTCACACGAATCTGCACTCGAACTATTGCAAAAATCCTTGCATCTCTCTGCCATTTTTCTTTCGTTGTATTAAAGGGTAAAGTTAGAAATTAACTAAGCTCTAATCTTGATTGGAGATCGATTAATCTTAATCTCGTGGAGAGTCGAGTAAATTTAAACTAAAAATAGACTTGTCTGTAAAAAACGCCGTGGCAATAATACAGGGCAGTTGAACGCTCCAACTAATGCGCTCCTGGCCAACATGAGGAGCTCTGGCCCCGAAAAAAATTTGTAGCATGCATTCTACAGAGGCGCTATATTTCTCTCATCAATGTAGAGAATTACATTGACGCTTGCAGTCGGTAGGTGTCTATGCGGTTACTTAAACCTGTTGATAATAAGTTTAAGGTTCATCTAATAATTAATTATTCATCTGAGGAAAATAAACAAAATATCTTGGATCGGTATCACTTGGCGCGATCTCATCACGGAGTTTGAAGTCCGATCGATCGGCTGAGCTTTCTAGAGTTACGGGATCCAATCTCGACCCAAAAGCACTGGTATGTGCCAACAAAAAGTTACTGTGAAATCAGACTGAAAAAAAATTGCGGGTCGCCCGACCGGGCACTCATGTCTCTCGATTCAGTTCTTTAGTATACAAGAAGGCAAAAATTTGTGATATGCTCTTGTCCGTTTACTGTGTTTATGACGCATCGCTAAAATTTACTTTGACACCAGATACGCACGCGTGCTCGGATCTGAAGTTTTTTCCCACATGACTTAGCAATATCTAACATTATAATATCCAACAAAACACATGAACAATCTGAATATTGGTACCATTTCCCGAAATATCATCTCAGTTTTTCATATGCATGTTTTATCATCCTTAATATAATTGTTTCAAATATTTTCCATCCGCGAAGCGTGAATTGTTATTTTCAGGAAGTCTTCGTTTATGCAAATTTATCGCGTTTTCTTGTCGGCTTAATTTGATAATTTGTTTGCTCAGAGTTAAGCAGCTGTGGATGGTTGGCTTCATTTGTTTAGAATTAACATCTCGATGATGAAATGGTCAATGCTAGATAACTGCAATAATTAATTTACTTAATTTGTAGAAATATAATAGCATAGTTGTATTAATCTAGTTTAAATTTCTCTATAACATTGTGACGCTTTCCATCCATTTGCTACTGAAATAGCTTGTTTTAGCCTATCGCGGCAAATACAGGACAAGTATTACTGAATCCACGTGAATGGAAAAAAATATTGAAAACATTCAATGAGTCACCAGCTAATTTACATTAAAAAAAAGTTTTTGTGACGCAAAGCTCGTCTCGCCCAGTAGCATTTAAGCTTGACGGTAGAGTTTCCCTGCTTCACTGTAAACGATACACAAGTACAAGTATTTTCTTCAAGGATGAAGATTCCCTCCAAACTATCTCTATCTTTCCTCTCCATAACAGTTCTGTGGGGAGGATGGCTTCACTTCCCTGCGGATGGAAACGAGGGTAAGTCTTTGACATTTATGTGTTTTCTTTTGCTTTTCCGTCTCTTGTTTAGAATTCCAGTTCATTATTGCTTCGAAATAAGGTAGAAATGTAAAACTTGTGAAAAGCAATTTCTGCATCTTTTTCGAAGTAAATCTTGTTTTTACTGACTTCTAACTTAACGTATCAGTAAAAGTAACCAAGTTGAACTTTAATTTACGTAAAAATACCTGATAAGCTCTGTGTGTCTTTAGTTAAACAAGCTTGTACACGCAACCGTTTCGAGGTAAAATTTTCCTTTTCTTCCTTCTTTGTCATCAAGCCTGACTTTCATTTGATATCAGCTTTGTAGCGCTTTGCCAGCTTCAGAAAGCTATAACATATATTATCTGTAGGTTTAACAGCAAAAAAAATTCTAACAGACGGAAGAATTGAAGGAACGTCAAGTATTGACTAGCGCAAATTTTGGAGCGATATTGAAGTACTTCCTGGGAATTTCAAATTGCCATGGGTGCGCCTAACAGAAATTATTACTTAGAAAAAATTTTAAAGCTTGAGTAAGTTCCAAAAATTATGGTCCCAACCTTATTTCTTTATAGCATGCTTTTTAATTGGCTCTGCATTTAAGAAAACCTTCATGATCACACATCTGTCAAATCGTAAGCTTTCACGACTGTGTTACATTGAGTTGATACACAGGATGAAGAAAGTTATGAGAGTTTCTAAACCCTTTCTCTATCTTGTCGCTCGATTACACATTTTGGAGAAGTGGATTAAAAGGAAGTTATGCTACAGTTTAAAGAGCCACTAACAATCAAATCTGTGTGCTACGCTTGAAAGAAAAAGACTGAATAGAAAATACGTTCTGCCTTCCAGTAGATATAAGGCCGAAGCAACGTATATTTATCGCGCGGCAAATCGAATTTAGGATGGATTGTTAACAGTTGATTAGCCAGTTTTCACTGAAGATGTCTAGAAATGACTTGGAAAATATTAGTTTTTTTTTAAAATGGAAAACATGAGGATTTCTCTTGGTAAATTTTAAAATTTAAACGCAATTGACAAAAGTTTAATGAAAAGGAAATTATTTTCATGCCAAAAGTGACTTCATCTTGAAATTAAGCTTTCTCACAGTGCAAGAACATTTCGTTCCGTTTATTATCAACTTTTCAGCGCGGATATTTTTTGGACCCAACAATAAACAAATTTCGAGAGGAAGTAAAGTGTGTAACAAGAAGGTTTTCGTCGCCAATCCGAGCAGGAGCCACGTGCATGAGCGATCTCAGTATTAATACACGTTAGATAACCGCCTTTTTGGCTTGATTGCATTAAGAACATTTCGGTCCTTTAAATATCAGTCTTGCAGCACAATGTGTCCTTGAGACTTAAAGATATATAATGCATGCAAACGAAATTTGAGTGGAAGAAAGATTTGCAACGAAGGGGAGCTTTCAGTCGGCCACCCAAGTAGGAGCCACGCGCGTCAGAGATCACAGCAACAAAGACACGCCATATAATCTCCCTTTTGGCTTAGTTACACTTAAAAGTCATTAGGAAATGCAAAAAAGACAATTTTCGCATTGAATGTTATACTTTACAAGAGAATAAGGATAAACTTATCTATTCAGGGCTATGTATTTTGGTTGTTTGTTCAACTATGCCATAACAGGTAGTTTAGAGCTTTAATTAAAAACAAAAAAAAACCAACAGTTTTGTAGATCTTGATGAACAGATTTTAAAAATAATTGATGTATAGAAAGGACTAGACAACCTTGATTTTCTTACAAGGTTCAAAATTGCTTAGAGAGTTCTGTTTTCCAATAAATACTATTTTGGATACAGATAAAGTGCGTAAGTGATATGTTGCACTTTGTAATAATCGTCACACGTTATAATACCTGTCGGATTTTGCATTAGCTCTTGTCGCAATTTATAATTGAATGCTGTCCCACTTTGGCACCCACTTTAGTTTTGAACATTGTCGACGTTATTTCTGCGACCAATAAGTTTTCAAGGAATGGAAAATTGTGGTCGATTTTTAATTTGAAATGACAAGAAAAACTTCCCAATCTATTTTATTTTCCGGTAAAAAAATGAACGAAAATATTAAAAGTTAGCACATTATCTTCAAGATCGTGATCATGAGTGTTGGTCCGGTTCGGGGCGTGAACTCTCGACCTCCCACACGGTAGACCGGTGCTCTACAAATTGATCTAACCATCCGCAGTTATCATCAGCCAACTTTGAATGAATTCCAAGTATTAAACATATTAAATGGGGAAAATTTTTCAACTATAATCGATCACTGGTCCTCATCCGAGCCTCAAAATTTCTTTAATAGTCTACGATAGTTTTTTATTGCAATTTGTTCCTAGGATTTCTCTTTATTTGATGTTCCCAACCTTTTCTTGTTTACTTTCAAACTTTTTAGATGTGGACGAGTGTACCAGCCACATCCATGGCTGTCACTATAATGCAAGTTGCAATAACACAGACGGCTCTTACACATGCAAATGCAAAACGGGATTCAATTGCCGTAAGTATAAGAAATGTTGTGTAATTTTTTTTTTTTTAATAGTTTTTTCAGAAGTTTAACTGATAACGATTTGCGTGATCCCCTTGAAACGGTGCCAGAGATAAACTCTAATAAAATGTGCGTTTAAAATGAACACTTACTTCGATCATTGCAGTTCAGACAGGCACTTTATCATTCGATGTAAATTGTGACAACGGGAAATACTTATCCTAAGTACTATGCAAGCACACCTTCTCTCTACCAAATGAACACTGAAACAACCTGAAATCTACGAAATCAAGGTCGTACGGATTTACATTTAATGGGCTTAGGATTGAATCGTGGTAATGACCAGGAACTAAATAAGAAGAGTTCTTCACAAATTGCGCTGAAGTGGTTCACACAGGAAATTCACGCAAAAAACCCAATAATGATCAGCGCTCAGAAATTATATTCGTCACGAGAAGACTCCTCCTGTGATAAATAACGCGTATCCCATATTTTCCTCCAAATTATCAAACTACTTTCAAATTTCTTTACCAGAGTAGGAAAACTTAAGATCTGAACTGCCCTTAACGAGCTTAATGATACGTATTTGTTCTCTCAGCTGTTTAAACTGATCATAATACCAGCTGCCAGACTAAACATAAACATTCGAGATAAAGACGACATTACAACTTAATAAAAAAATGGATGTCAATTTTACATTTTCCTCTCAGCATTCAAAGCCGTGTTCTCAAATCTCAATGCCACTGGAAGATATGGTCCAACATCGCTCGGAAGTTACTACGCAGGTCAGGATCACGACGGACAAGTTGCTCTGTCCAGCGGTATTCAACAGTGGACTGTACCGTACACTGGTGATTACAGAATAGAAGTAATAGGGGCAGCTGGAGAGTACGATCGACTGATTAACAGCTCTCAATACCGCGGAAGAGGAGCAAGAATGATTGGAACATTCCGCTTAAACAAGGGTGAAGTCATCCAGGTACTTGTAGGTCAAGAAGGAGGAATAAACAAGAAGTCTGATTCTTCTGGCGGTGGTGGAGGTACATTTGTAGTGAGAGGAGCCGACACACCTTTGATAATAGCCGGAGGCGGAGGAGGGGTACAAGCTGTATATTCAAGACATACAGAATGTAACGCCAGCTCAAACACGACAGGGAATCCTGGGTACAGATCATGGGCAGGGGGGAGCAATGGACATGGTGCACAGACTGCTGATTCTAGATTATCAGGTAAGAATATTTTTCAATAATCTTTAGCATCTCAGCATTTTGGTAGTAATTTAAAAATTTCGTGTAAAATGTTTATTCTGCCATAATCTCACCATGTCCCCATTAGAAGTTTTCTAATTTAACTTTTATCATGATATTTCAGGTGGTGGTGGTGGCAGATTCTACTCCAGTGGAAGAAGTGGAAAGAATTTCAATGGGACCAAGGGGTATGGAGGAGAGGGTGGTGAGGGATTTCTGCAGGGAGGGGTAGGTGGGAGATCACCGTATCTCGACGTCTATGGTGGGTTTGGCGGAGGAGGTGGAGCTGGGGGATGGTGGGGAGGAGGGGGAGGAGGAGGATACTCTGGGGAAGGCAGTGGAAGTCGTTATGCAGATACCTGTGGGGGTGGTGGTGGATCCTACAATGTTGGAAACAATCAGCAGAATGAATGTTATTACAACAAGGCTAGCCATGGTCAGGTGACCATCACACTACTGTAGAAAAAACAACCGAACCGCTTGCTATCCAATGCATAGGTGATTTTAACCCTTTAAATCTCAAGATATCATTAGTAATTCTCATTACTGTCCGCCAAATGATTCTCATTATGTTAGCTTGGAGAATCTGATATCAGATCAATTAGTAATCCCACAATTTATATTTGTCTTTATTCTCATCACTTGTCTGCATGATATTGTATGGATATAGTAAGGAGAAATTCTGTCTTGGTCACTCATGGGAGTTAAAGGGTTAATAGAGATTAGATATGACAACAAGTTAGATAATGTTATGGAGCTTGAATATTCATAATGATTAGACTAAGAATCTTGAGGGGAAAAACAGCTCATGTTATTCTACATTACAATTAGCGACAAAGTTGTTGACACATTACGGTTGAAGATCAATTCTGGAATAGTAGACCAGTTTTATTCCTCATAGCATTTCACCCACTCGTCCACATTTTTTTTTTCTTCTGTCTGTGATGGAAAAACGGCATTTCATTGACTTTATTGCTAAGAGATTTTGCACTTTTTTTTTTTTTTTATAAAATTGAGTGGGTGACGGGGTGTTGTAGTAAACCCTGTACATTAAAAAAATATTTAATAAAACATCCTTAAAAGCGAGTACGTGAATGTTATGTGTTAACTAACCTTATTGCCGAATGTTGATCCACTCAGGAGCCAATCTCGTAGTTCT